CTGCCTGGAGAACTCGGGTGCAGGCGTCTTCCACAGGAGCCCCCAAGAAGACATGGTGAGGGGCAGAGCTGTGCCCTACGCAGCCAGAGCACTGAGCTTGGGGTCCATGGAGCCCCAGGGGCACATGGGCTGGGCTCTGGAATCTACGATCAGCTCAGGCCATGTGCAAAATCCTGGGGTAGGCACCATCTGGGAGGAGAGGGCTGGCACCTTTTCTCAGATCTTCAAAAGATTCCACATCCCCAGACCCATGAATGACTACTAAAACTAACCAGCATCACCATAGAAACCGCCACAGACTGCGTGTTGACCACATGCTGGGAGAATGGGGGTACCTCAGAGGGCTGCTGGGAGGATGGACTAAGAGGGCATTTGTAAGACACTAAGAATGGCACCTGCCACAGAGCAAACACTCCGTAGGCTTCAGTTCTATTTTCTCATTGTAATTATTATTATTATCCATTATTATCACTTCCATTGCTTCACGATTCCTCACAAAAACTTTATGAGGTATGTATTACTATCAACCCTGTTTTATAGAACAGGAAGTAGAGGCTTCAAAAGGTGAAAGAATTAGCTCAAGGCCACAGACTAGCAGAGAAGGAACTCAAACTTGGTCTGTCTGGTTCTCACACCCAGGCTGGCCCCCCATCGGGATGCTCTAAGGGAAGAGGGCAGGAGGACTCCCTGAGAGCCCCGAGGAAGCAGGTGGGCAGGGCTGGGAGGCCCCAGATGACCCCCGGCCCCAGATCAGCCAGCCAGAGGGGAAAACAGGCCTGGGGCTTTCCACTGGACGGGTCAGCCGGCCCTGCAAACTTTGCACCTCTCCTAATCAACAACAGAAAGCTAAGGCACCTAAAATAATAATGATTTAAAAAGAAAACCACCCCTGCAGTGGCCATCCCTAGACTCCAAAAGCAAGCTGATGTCTTGGAGCTCAGTGAGTTCAAGGAGCAAGGCAGGGGCCACCCCTGTGCCCGCTGGCTGAGCTCCAAGCAATGTTTCTCCTTCCAAACTAACACATAACTCTGCTGAACACGCCACTTGAAAGCCAAAAAGATGCCCCTGGGTTGCCATGGCAACACTAAACAGACAAAACATTTAACCAGCTCTGACGCACACACAAACTTATTTAAGGGCCGAAGGGACTGATTTGGTCAGGGAGAGGGAGTGAGAGAGGTCAGAAGAGGGGAGGGTTGTTTCTACAGCTTTATCTCCGAGGACTTAGCCCCGCAAGCATGCAGGTCAGACTGAGACGGGACAGACTGAGACCGAGCTTGCTGGGGAGAGGGAAGCCACTGCCCGGCCTCTGCCTCGCAGTCGGGGTCACAGTCCTGTTTTATGAGGCTGAAAGATGGACGCCGGGATTTACAGATAGATGCCAAGGGCCCTAGCTCGGCCTCTCCCTGGGGACAGCCTTCTGCTACCCAGCATTCCCATCTCCTCACCCCAAAGTGGGGAGTGCTGTGCCGGCCACAGCAGAGTGGGAGGATCCGATGCACCCCTGAGCATAAAGTCGCATGTGAACCTGAAGGCACTGTGGGGAGGCCCATTAGTGCTGATGTTAAAAACATTCACTGCCATTTCCCACCAGGAGCACTTGCATTTTCCAGGTCCCGCAGTTCAACTTCCAGCCACAGTTGATGACCGCGGTTAAGTTTCCTTCAGGAAACGTTGTTCCTGGGTCCAAGGGGGGCTGCTCTGTGAGCTGTGGCAATCTGGGGAGTGACGATGAATGCAGAAGACTTGTCGCAGGTCCAAGTGCCTACGGGGTCTGTCGTATACTGGGCTCTTCTGGGCCTCAGCCTTCAACTGGGACACATGTGGCAAAGGATTGATGCTGCTGAGAGGCCGGAAGAAATCTCACCAGATGGAGCTCATAGCAGTTGGGGAGGATCAGTGAACACATATTGCAAAACCTCCCTCAGCAGGGTCTGCAACATCCTCAGGTAAATGAATCCTCCAGAAATGGGAAACTCTGTCCACCCACCACTCCCCTGTGGAGAACCCTCTTGCCTGTTGAGACTCACCCCTTAAAAGTTACTCTAAAACCTCCCCTTGCCTGGGGTGGAGTGGGCCACACAGTGCCCTGCAGGTGTCTGTGGGAGCAGCTGCACTGTTCAATCATCCCACTTGTTCTCTGGTCTCCTGCCTGTATGTCACCAAGCTCCCCAAGGGCAGGAATCGCGTCTTGTTCACCTGGGGATTCCCGCCAGGGCCTGGCATTAGTTGGCACTCTGTGAATGTTTGTGGATTGACTGGCTAAAAGTATGCCATGCCATGCCCCTGCTGGCCACCAATGCCCCTGGGATTCTCCAGTCCATATGCCACAAGTAGCGGCTCTCCGTCCCCCATTCTCTGAGAAGAAGGCAGGTCTGGGAGCAGCGCCTGAAGAGCTGCAGTCGCCACAGGGAAAGGAGCTGCCGGCAGCCCGAGGGTCGGGAGGAGCGGGAGGGTGGGAGGAAGAGGTAAAGGCCCGCACCTCCTACCCACGAAATCAAAGCTCACGTTCTTCCCACGGATAGGCAGATGAAATGAATTTACCCCCTGAAAACTGGAGTAACACCCACTCCTCCTGCTCTGAAACAAAATGGCTTTTCTTTGGTTCCACTATTCAGGGTGCCCAAAGGGGCCCTGTGTTCTTAGGGAGTAAGCACCTTAACTGCAGGCGGATCACGGTCAGGGAGCAACAGCTACCTCCCAGCAGGTGCACTGCCCAAGTTCGCAATGCACTGTGTGTCAGCCTCTGCTTACCAGCTCGACGCTTTCCACGCACCTTCTCCTCTGGTTCCTCTGAACCAGCAACTTTTAGCAAATAAAAGAAAGCAACAAACCTCTGTCATTAGCCACCCCAAATTCAGCCTACTTGGGAAGTCAACCTAAGAATCTAGAAATGATGGCCCGTGCACTATGCTACTGCTCTGCAATTAAGCTTCCCACGAGCAGAAATGCTCCGTTCCATGTGCTCACACACACGCATGGCATCCTGCTAGTCAGAACGCCACCCCGGCTGTCTGCCAGAACTTCCAGTGTGCCCTGGGCCCGTTCTTCTGTATGAATTTGTCACTGTTTTGTAATATAGGGGACAGGACAATGGCCCCGTTGTCCTTATCATCATCCTTCTCATTTCCTACGGAGGGGAGTGGTTGTGCCGGAGGTTCTTACGTCTTACTGGGCCCACATCCTGTGGCTGAACTGTTCTCTGCTACGTTCACCACCAGACCGTGTCTGCTTCCCTGCCCTTAAGCTGGAACTAATTATCACAGGCAATTATAGGATTTTACAGTCCTGTGTTCTAAAAAAGAAAAAAGAAAAAGAAAAATCCATGACAATAAAACCAGTCCTTTCACGGCTGAAAGACTTCTGGAGAAACACCATAGAATCACACTGGTGCTATGGTGGTATTTATAAATAAAACATTTACATGGAAAGCTGAATTTGAACATAAGGGCCTGGGTGACAATCTTATTTTCTAAGTTTTAAAGTGGATTTTAACAACAGACAACACCTCTGACAGAAGGTGCAAAAAACACAAATGTTCCAAATAAGGCTCATCACCTTGGAACGTCAGCTCTACACATGCATCATCGCGGGCCAGGACAAACGCGTTGATATCCATCTCAGGGGGAAATACTGCATCTCTTTCATGTGAAGATATGACTGCATGTGTAAAATGCTTGCACTAAAATTAAGTCTTCTATCATCCAAATTTTCTCAATTATTAATACACCAGACAGCTGCAGGAGCTCTAGCGAAAATAGCAGCCAAGCTCTTCCAAAAGTCCAAGCAGCCCTGAGATGTCTGCATGGGACTTCCCGGTGTGAGGAGCAGTGGCTCTGGATCAACCCAACCAACCCACAAAAACTCTCCAGGGGAGCAAAAAAAAGAGAAACGTGTGTCAGAGTGTGCACCAAAAAATGACCCCCCCCCCCCACCAACACACACACACACACCCTCTTTACAATAAAAAGTTTTGTGCATGAAAAAAGTTGACTGAAAAGGCTTCTTCTGTCCAACTCACTGGGATAACAAATAATTCAGAAAATTAGACGGCACATCCAAGAAATGCCGGTCACTTCAGTGTATTCTGGAATGAGACTACCAAATCACGCCTATTCAACTGAAGCAAGGCAAGGTTAGAAAACAAATTACCCCTTGTTTTAGATATCTGGAAGCAAATTCATGTCCAGGAACAAAAAAGTTGTCCTTAAGTAACTACGTTCATATTTTAAACAGATATTAGCATCGTCTTCACAGACTCTGACACTACACATTCTGTGTGCAAATATCCACATTTGAAAGCATTTCGAAGAGAAAAGCTAAGTCCTGACAGCATCACAATTTAATGTTTTCTCAACTCAACAGTGATCCTGAATTTTAACTCAAAGGTTATGTGCAGAACATGCAACGAAGAGTAGATTTTTAAAAAGTCTTTTATTTTTTTAAAAAAGCTGTACTATCAGAGCTTACGCAAGCACATCACAGCAGAGAGAAGACCACTTGCCAAGGTTACACAGAAAATGACATGGATGTAACTCACTTCACACTTCCTGTCAGAGTTCTGACTTCACATCATCCTGACCTTCAAAGGAAATACGCCCCAGTTTCGGAAGAGTGAGATACCATCACCTACCTCCTCGGTGCCTCCACTCCACACACAAACAGAAATTGGTGTGGGTCTCAGCGGAAGCAGAACAAGTCATAACAGTCCAAGTTCTAAGCAAGTGTATGTTTGCCCCAGTTCCGCGTAATTTGTTTCTAAGAGCAAGGGCCGTGGTTCATTTTTGCTGTCTCACCATCTACGTAAAAACCACAACCATTTCTCAGTAAATGCCGACAAATGTCAGAAGAGCAGACCATGGCTACTTGGCAAAGGCTGTTAGTTTATTAATATAATCCCCCAGAGTAAAGCTGATGGTGTGAATGTTTATGATACGGTCAGTATCGTTCAGAGGAAGGGCTAACATAACACAAACGCTCTCTCCCCATGTGCCGCTTACCATTTGCGATCTGTTCTTCGGACAGCCATTGATGTCTTCAATCTTTTCATTTGCTGAAAAAGGAAACACAAGTCAGAAAAATAAATCACCATCACAGACACTCTGCTTCGTGATGTTCAGGACCCTGGAGGCCAACCAAGCTCCAAGGCCCGGCCTGGGGTTTGCCCAACCAGCACAGGCATGTGAAATACTGAGAGGCATCCAACAAGCTTTAGGACTTAATCATCAAGCCACCATCCTCCAGGGACAGCTGGGGCAAGGTCGTCGTCATCTAAAGCAGAGACAACTGCATTGAGGACAGTCTTGGAGTGGTGGGGCGTCGTGGAAATGTTGCAGACTGGGGCACAGGCTGAGCTATGATTGTGCTTCAGGCTTTCCATAGACAAGCTCAACCTCCCCACAAAAGATGGGATGGTTCAGAGTGGATTAGTCCAGCTCTGACTCAGCTCCAGGGGACAAAAGCTTCAGATGATAACATTTCACCCTACCTTTAGCCAGAAAAACTAACACTGCTTGATACTAATAGGATTACTAATAATCCTATTCCCAAGTGGTGGCAAAGAGAGAAAATGAGAGAGTAAAACCTAAAAATGGCTCATCCATTTGGACGTAGTAAGTCCCAATTAGATCTGGGATACTCTTTGAAATCGTAATAGCTCTTACCTAATAAGAGAAGTGAAAGAAAGAAGGTGCATTGGATTAACTGGAAATCAAATACCAATAACATGGAAGAAAGGCCCAGCCTCCCATGGTCAAGTATGAAGGCAGAAAATTAGACGGTACTCCTTGTAAGACGCAGCCCAAGATATGCACAGAGGGGTTGAGTTTGCGACTGAAGCTGCAGGAAACAGGCAGTACATATAGACGTCAGGACACTGGCTTTGGGGACAAAATACCTCAGTGTGAATCCCAGCTCTATAGCTCTTAGCTGTGTGATCTCAGCTATGTCACTCAACCTCTCTGGGCCAAAGCTTCCACATCTGTGAGATGGAGCTAATACTACCAACTTCATAGGAGGGGCTATGAGAAATAGGTTATATGATGCCAGAAAATTCTTAGCACAGTGCCAGGCACACAGTAAGTGGTCTATAAATGGCAGCTATCATTAACCTGACACTACACAGTCTTACCATCTGTGTAAAATATATAAAATTAAAATTTCCTGTCTCAATGTCTCCATCTGAGCTAAGCCCAGAAACTCAGATGGAACTCCACAGTAAAGAACTAGGGATTTGCCTTCTCTGGGAAGCCAGCTTCCTCCCGAGTCCCGTGATCTTTCACCCCATGCCCCACCCCAGGAGGATAAGGCCTGCCCAGTTCTCTTGGGCTCTCAGCACCCTGTACCCACCTCTATTTTGCTCTAAATCATCTAACGTGTAACTAACTCCTTTCCTTGGCTTCCCCAGCATAGCTGACATGTTGTGTTTCACAGTTACATCCTTAGGGCTCATAAGTGCTCGCAACACTGAATTCCAAAAAAGTTTATCACATCCAATTTTAATGAATTTCATGCCTTAAACTTTCATGAAGAAAAAAGACATAAAAAGAGTAACAGAGTCAGAGTGTCCCTAGCCTCTGATACGAGAACCTAAACATAGCTCTCCATCTCTTCAGCTGAGCTTTTTTTTTCCCCTCCAGTATTTCTACCTTGAGAAGTGAAAAATAACGCAAGCTAGTGACAAGAAATTGTTTAAAAATTGAATTACCATGAGACTGTCTGGATGGTATGCATATAACCTAATCTACATTGTCTTTAGACTTTGCCAAAAGTAAGTTTGCAAAAAAAAAAAAAAAAGAAAAGAAAAGAAAAGGAAGGTGACCCAGCCAGGGGGATCTTCAGAGAGCCCACTGCGTTTTCTCAGGAGAACCCTGGGACAGGCATTTTAGAAATGCCCCCTCCACCACCTGCTTCCCCTGCTCCCACAGGAGGTGCCACAAAGCATTTACAAAGCATGCTAAAGATGCCCAGTGAATGGAATTAAAATGAATGGATATTTGTTCCTCAGTGCACCAGAAAATAGTAAACGATGCCTGATGAATGGGATTCAGATGAACGGGTATGTGTTCGTCAGTTCACCAGAAAATACAATTAGCAGAATGTAACACTAGCAGATAAACTCCCCAAGAACAAGGACTTGTATCTGCTTTGTTTCCCACTTCTATCAGAGCTTAGGACAGTGCCTGACACAGTAGCCGCTCCATCCATACGTGCTGAGTGGAGCTAAGGAAGGAGCACTCTGACCACTTCAAAGCATGAAGCGTTGCTGCCTGTTTTGTGCTTTTGCTTATAAATACAGATGTAAGTATGGAAGATTTTTTAAAATGACCTTTGATGAATGGCACTCCTGTACACGTGGCAGGCCTGCACTCTGACCTTGGATTTTGATGTAGCACATGGGGAATAGATGTGAGGCTTTGGGGTGTCAATGACACTCAAGGTATCTTCCAACTGGATACTCATGATGGCCGAAGCCATAAGTCATTGGATTCTGATCAATACCCAATTCAGCATTAGGTCATTAGTGATCATTAAGGTGAAGGATGGATAATTATAATCTTAAGAAATAATGTTAAAGATTCATCATAATTCATCTGGATAAATGAAACGAAAGGGCTTGGCCTAATGGCTCCTCTAAATCCTTCCCGTGGCCTGTCACCTCAACCACAGTCACATGCTTCCTGAATTCCAACGATAGAGACTCCTGTTAGCCTAATTCTGCCATTGACAACATTCAAAACAAACTCTGGAATGCAGCCTGTTCACGACCATGCTAAAGGCTATATGGGGAGAGATAAATCACATGACTAAGCCCAAACTCAAATAAATGCTTAATAAAATGCAAAGTGAGTCGTAGACCTCCTAGTTTGCAATTTCATGTAATTTAAATACTTCTTTAAATTCTCAAGTATGTCTATGGTTGTCACAAATACTTACAATGATAACAGCAGTTCTGATTCTGCTAGTAAGAAGGAAGAAGAGCTTGATTTTCAGAGCCAAATTAATTAAGTCTTGTACGGGGTCTTTGGCTACAGCCCCAAAGCAGAAAGCCATGTGCAAAGGCATTTGCCCCCAAAGTCCTCAACTGTGATTACGATCAGCATTCCTAAATTAGCCCTAATAAACAGTAATTTATTTATCCCAGTTCAATACATTTTTAGCCCATTAATGCAGTAACTTATCTGCACACAAGGTAACAAGTTAGTAGCTGGAAAGCATTAGTGTGCTTTTAATTTTTTCAAAGACATGATTTATTTTTAGAGAGAGGGCAAGAGAGGGAGAAAGAGAGGAAGAGAAACATCATTGTGAGAGAGAACATCAATTGATTGTCTCTTATACTGCCCCACCTGGGGATTGAACCCACAACCCAGGCACGTGCCCTCACTGGGAATCAAACCAGTGACCTTTTGCTTTGCAGAACGATGCCCAACCAACTGAGCCACATTGGTCAGGGCCATTAGCACACACTTTTAAAATACGATGAGTGGCATCAAGCTCATTACTTTCCAAAGACCTCCTCTGTCTGGTAAGTTCCGAGCATTTCACCAGTCCAAGCATCTGTATGGGGAATCTATGCGTGTGCATCGGACAGCTGGCAGCCCTACCCATGGGGAGAGAAACTAGCTGCCCAGAAATGTAGATATTCACCCAAGGTCATGCAGTGGTAGTAGGTCATCAAGGGAATGAAGGTATACTCCTGCGTGTTTGAACTTCCCTGTTGGGCTGAGAGGCAGCCCAAATGGTGATAGAGAATGAGTTATCAGTTCTCTTCATCTCCAACAGGAAACTCTTCCTGTCTAAGCTTCCTCCTCTCCAATCCCTTTTGTTCATCCTACTTCCTTCTATCTCTCTTCTCTTTTTTCGATTTCTCCCACCCGTTTGCCACTCCCTCACTCCAATCCCTGCTGGCATCTTCCCTGAGTGACAGCAATGTAAGCAGGAGGACGGAGCCTGTGTGTGTCTCTCTCTCGATTCATGCTGTTTATCCCGGCCTTGTAAACCTTTCTAATAACTCACGGAATTGGTACTGTAATGGGCTGGCAGGCGATTGCTGAGTCTAGACAGCTTATGACTCAAGAAGATAATCACACTAATAAGAGGTCCAACAGAGAGATCCAACCCTCAGTCACTAAAGGAAGGACACGAAAAGGCAGGAGCAAATGCCCACTTCTGCCTACCAGGCAGAAGGCAACAATGAAATAATATGGCCCCAAACAATCCCACTATGTAGGAAGCCCACCGCCAGGGGTGTCTGGAATGGATGAGGACTCAGGAGCAGTGTCTGTGAAAAGCATTTAAGGTTTTCCTTCAAGTCACCTCTGATCATGTCAGTCCCCAACCCGAAAATCAGCTCTTCCAACCCTTGGATTTTGTTCTGAGGCTAAAGCCCAGAATTCACTTTCTTGTACCTGGCGATCCTGCCTGATTTTGCCTTGCTGTCCCTCTGGCTCTCTAAGCTCCAGCTGTTTTACACACTATTTCCTCCACCAGGAATGCCCCTCCTGACTGCTTCACCCAGCTAACGCCACCTCACTCACTTGAAGTTTGGCTTATAGGTATAATAAACTCCCTGATCCCTATCTCCTCCACCCCCACCCCAATCATGGGTCAGGTCTCACAGCATCACAGGTCTTTTAATCATTATGCCCGATACTCCTCCTTGGTCTAGAAAGAGGCTGTTCTTTAAAGGTACAACCTCCCTGCCTGCAAAGTTTGATGTGCCTTCATTTAGATGTGTTCTTTTTAATTTTTTATTTTGAAATAACTTCAAACTTACAGGAAAGTTACAGAAACAGTACAGAGAATTCCTACATTCCTTCATCCATTCTCATTTTCTCCCTTCCGCCTCGACCCATTTCTCTGTATAGGGACACATTTTTTTTTTCCTGAAACATTTTAGTGTCCTTTGCCTCTTACACTTAGCATTTCCAAAGAACAAGAATATTATCTAACTATAGAGCTAGCAAGTTCAGAAAAGTTAGCACTGATATAATTCCAATGTTTCAATTTTGTCAACTGATACAAAAATATCTATCCTTTGTAGCATTTTATTCCCCAATCCAGACCACACAGTGCATTTAGCTGTCCTGTCTCTTTAGTCTTGAACAATCTCCCAGCCTTCCTTGGTCTTTCACAACACTGACATTTTGGAACAGTGCAGGCCAGTTTTGGATTTTTTTTTTTACTAGAGTATTCCACAATTTGGGTTTGTCTGAGATTCCTCGTGATTAGTTTCAGGTTTTCCATCCCTGACTGAAATTCACCATCAGTGATGCTGTGTTCTCTCGGCTACGACAGCAGGAAGCACGTGACATCCAGCCAGCTCTCACGTGTAATGCCATTTTGACCAGCTGGTCATGATGTCTGGATTCTCCCCAGCGGGGTTACTACATTTCCCCCTTGGAACTAATAAGCAATCAGGGAAGAGACACTCTGAGACCATGCAAATAGTCTGCTTCTCATCAAACTTTCCTCTCTCGATTTCAGCATCCATCAATAATTCTTGCCTGAACTAATCTTTCCCATCAAGATTGCAACTCCGTCTACATGTCTCAGTCAGCATTCTCCTGCACCGTTGAGCCCTCTCTGCTCAGTGGATGTATCTATTTATTTATCAGTAATGACTTGCAGATTCCTATTTTATTTTATGGTTATAATCCATGACCATCCTCAATTATTTTGATGCTCTCATTGTCTCTGATTAGATTGTTGTTGTTGTTGTTGTTGTTTTGTAGCCCTAGAGGAGAGAATAATACTTATAGGGAGATATCACCAAGGGGGCAGATTTTGACCTAAGAAAAGAAGAGCTTTTGAAGGATTCCAATTCTCTGTGTTAGATCTAGTTTTCTGAGGAGGTAGTAAGCTGCCCATCACATTAAGTATTTACCAATCTGCTGACCACCTTTCATACAAGCAATTCATGCATCAGGTTGGGGCTTTTAAAGGTCCCTTCTAAAACTTAGAGCTAAGAGTTGCAGCGGAATCCAGGAAAGGAGGAGGGTATGACATACAGTTCCAGAAGAATGTTCAGAAGAATGCTGAATCCCAAGAAGGGGAAACCTCCAAGCCACCTGTTGGAAAAAATTCGATCCAGAATTGCAGAAGCAGGGGATGCAGTGGATAAAATTCTCATCGGTAATCCTTGCTAAATGCTGTGAACCCAGGAAGGAAGATGACTCAGACCCTGGCCCAATCCAGCAGGTGGCGGGATGGTAGAGGAGGGTGTCTCTCCAGCTGTCTGGGGGAGCTAGGAAAGGTATCAGAGAGAAACTGACTTTTCATGAGTGGAGAGGAGCTCTCCAGGCAAAGAACCACTAGAATTCTGTCCAGCACAGATGGAGTACCAGGACTCCAATCCTGGGAAAATTTTAGATAGACAGAGAGATAGATAGATTAGATAAATACAGATACATACGTAACATGTATATCTAAGTACATGTACACGTATAAATATACCTTTTCCATTTTATTTTAATGGACATGTCAGAGAAAAACATGGACCTCAAAAGTAAAGAGTACAAGTTCAGCACCCTGCACTGGCCAGGTAGCTCAGCTGGTTAGAGCATCATCCCAATATGCCAAGGTTGTGGGTTCGATCATGGTCAGGGCATGTACAAGAATCAACTAATGAATGAATAAATAAGTGGATCAACAAATTGATGTCTCTATCTCTCAAAAAAAAAAAAGGTTAGCACCCTGATCAGAAAATACTGCTCTTCCTCCCTCACCAAGAGATTTGTGTTCATAAGATATTCTAAGATTAAATCTCTCAACTGGCTGATAGACAATCTAGAGGAGAAGTCACACACAGAGAAGATGCCCGTGTTCAGCTGCCTTCTCAGCTCCCCATCTTCTGGGCCTCTGTTCCCCACTCCCAGAGCAGAGGCTGTAGGCCCAGCAGTCAGGGTCCACGTGCTGACATCTAGCCTTACTTAGGAATCTCTGGCCAGAGCCAGCCTCTTCTGCAGGATGAGGGAAAGCAGCATGGTGGCCTGAGGGGCAGCCTGGGTCACTGGTACTAACTGGAGCCTCTGAAGTCGGACTCCAGTAGCTCTAGGCCCAGAGGGGTGACTGTCTAGGGACACTGATGTCATCCAAAGAGGTTCAGGGATACTTCCTCCTGAGCAACAATAAAAAGTGTGGTAGCTTACATTTCCATAGCATTATGTTTAATATATTCATGACGTACGTGCTAACATTCATCTCTTCTGGCCCATGACAGACATAACTAATCTATCATGACACACTCTGACACTGATACTGAAGCCTCATCATCGTTCTTCACATACCTTTCTAGGCAGTGTCTACCAAATGCTATCTAGGATATCTCCCTTGCATTTCAGAAGCAGGCATGGCTGTGCCCATTTTAAATATGCAGAAACAGAGGCAGCAGAGGTTAAGTGAGTGTCTAGAGGTCCCATCATTGGGAGAGATGGAGCTGGGATGAGAGCAAGACACTATCCTTTCCCGCTCTCTGTCTTGCTGCCCATGCTGAAAGTGGAGAGGGTTTCTGCTGGAAGCGCTCCGCACAGCCCAAGGCTCAGGCAGGGTTGGTCCGTGACCCGGCTGAGACGGAGGTCCAAACCCAGCTCAGATGCAAGTCGCCTCTTCCATGAGGACCTTGCCCTGAAGATGCTACTCCTTCCAAGGTGACAAGCCTTGTGCTTTGTCCCAGCAAGGAGAACAGTGCTGGCCACAGATAGGGCCCCATGCCTGGTTCCTGAACTGACTGCAGGGAGGAAGCGGCCTGTACCAAGTTCAGTGCCTCCAGATTGAGAGAGGGGTAGAATACAGCCAAGCAAAGAACAGAAGTTTAAGAAGCAGACTCACCCAGCTTAGACTCCCCTTGATGCCTAGTCCTGTGATACTGAACTACTGGCTCACTGGGCCTCAGTTTCTGTATCTGTAAAATGGGATGAATGCCGTCTACTTCATAGAGATGTTGAGAAAATTCAAGAAGTACTTTAAAAAACTTTGTAGGAGAGATGATGACGACAACAAAGAGGACGGAACGGAAGCAGAGGAATGTGGCAGATGGCCTTCAAGGTGACCCCCGAGCCTCCTCTCATTGAAGTTTAAGCCCTTGTACAATACCCTCCGTTGAGTGTGGCAGGACCTAAGACTTATTTCTAAACAGAATATGGCAAAAGCAATGGGATGCTACATTATATAAGGTTCTTCTCCCCATAAAACACTTTCTCTCTTGCTGACACAAGAAGTCAATCAAAGTGGCCGTGCTGGGAGAACCCTGCGGCAAGAAGCTGAGAGGGGCGTGTAGGAGTTGAGAGGGGCCTACAGTCAACAGTCAGCAAGAAACCAGACTCACTGCCTTTAACTGCAAGGAAATAAGTTCCTCCAACACTCTGGGTGAACTTGACCCCTCCCTGTTCAAGCTTCCAGATAAGAACTCAACCCTGGCCAACACCTTGACTACAGCCTTGCACAGGTGCCCAGCTAAGTCACACCTGCTCTCCTGATGCACAGAAACTAAAAGATAATGAGTAGACGTTGTTGTTTCAAGCTAAGTTTGTGGCCGTTTGTCTACAGCAATGGAGACGAACACAAGGATGGAAGGAAGAGGAGAGGAGGAGACGGAGGACCAACAGAAGCTAGCCTTGAAGAAATCAGTCTCAGGACAGAGGGAAGCTTCCTTCTCCTTGAGTGACAGCCAGAGTCCCAAAGTTTCAGCTGAGGGCCTACCTGCCTGTGTGTTCAGGTACAATCCCCACAGACGCGAGCAGAGCTACCACTGCACAAGGCGACTTCTCGCACTTGAAGGATAAGTGGCTTTTCCACAGCAATACGTGCCCAAGGGGCTGGCGCTTCTTTCTGTCCTTTCCCTGCGCCTCCTCTCTTGGCATCTCTTGGCATAAAGTGGTTGCTGCCAGCAACAACCACCAGCCTAATGCCGTATAATTGACCTCCTGCTTCCTCGGTCTGCCCTGAGCAACCAGGCAGGACCACTGGGGCACATTCTGTAAGGCTCATGGCAAAGCTATGCCCAGCCTCCACCCACGTGCCTTCCTGGATGAACCCTCTGCTCCCCGACCAGGGCCAAAGCAGTAAAAATCCCACCACCCCATTCCCCGCCCCTAGTGTGAAAAACCAGAACCAGCCCTCTCCAGAGTCTGGACTTCCAATTTCTCAGACCCAACGAGGGTTGGCAGGACTAAACCAACCCCATGTTGCTTTTTTAAAACCTTTAAAATATATATATATATTTCCAGAGTCATCCACACAAAAATTGCCAACAGAGAAGGGGCGAGAGAGAATGAGAGAGCCAGAAAGGTCGGTAGCAGGAGGTAAGAAAGAGGATGGAGAGCCCCTCCCCAAACCACCAGCACTTCCCTCAAGCCTTGGCCAGTCTTTCTTTTCAGAGGATCAAGATAAGACAGCTACGTGGTGATCTTATCAGGAGAAAAGAGCCAGTACCCACACCCCTGAGCACAGAACAGTCAGATAAATTCTCAACACGTGTGGCAGAAATACCGCAGTTTTCTTAGAGACTACAGTGTGCCCCTCCCCCTGCCCGATTGGAGCCCTCCTGGGTCTCCACTGCAACTCATCAATCCCCAGCATAAAATCTGCTCTTACCCACAACCTGGATAATCTGAGCCAGAAGAACACCGTCTGTCACATCTTGCTGGAGATCCTTGATGAGACGTTTGTGGCCTGATTTGGCTAGATAATGATTGGCCCAGTCCGTGTAGATCTGCAGAAGAGCAAAAAGGCAATTTTAGGAAGCCAGTCGCACCCCATCTGAGTCTGAGGCAGCTGCTTGGACTGCGCAGCCACCCCCATCCCGCTGGTGGGCTGTCCAGGGCCAGCCAGTGCCATTAACATTCAGTGCATTGTACCAAGGGGGCATTCAGCAACCATAGCTGGGCTTTCGCCTATTGAGAGATCCGCCGTCAAGGCTCAGGGAAAAGCTAAAGAAAGCTTCAAAACACGCAGAGGCCTGAATGGGACAGGGGACACGGAACTAAACAGTCCGCACCAGCCTGCTTGAGAGGCTGAGGCTCTAAATGCGAGAGAGAGGTCCCCCCACCCCGCCTCCACCACCCCGCCCCTTCCCATCTTTTTCTCTTTATTGAGAAAACGTATGGGGAGGTTACCACCCAATAGGCATCTTTTAATGGGCCATTTCTGCATAAGAAGGGCTATTGAGTTAACCGAGTTCTCAGGAGCCTGGTTCCCTTGGAAAAAAAAAAAAAAAGCCAAGTACGAAAACACAGAGCTCCTCAATGACTCTTGTGTGAGTGGAGTTATTGATGGCCTTACAATCACCTCAAATTTAATCGGTTTAACTTAAAAGCCAGGCATCATTTTCACTGTTGGGATTCTGTAAACAAAACCCAGCAAATTACAACATATTTAACCACAGCATTGGTGTAAACTGCACCCTGAAAGGCAGAGGCTGGGTCACCCATGAGATCAGGGGAGCAGACCCCCTGGTGGATACGGTTGGCCAAAAAGTTTGTTACATTTTTTCCATAAAACAAGAGACACATTTTTCATTTTCACCAATAACTTTATTGATTTGGATATTCTGAGTATGTTGGCTATCTCCCGCTATTGGCCTGTAGTGGGTAGAGGCCAGGGGTGCTGCTAACCATCTTCCAATGCATAAGACACTCCTTTAGCAAAAAATCACATGGGCAAAATGTCACTAGTCCCAGGAAACTTCGCAAACCACTTTCGACACGTTCAATCAGTCACAGCACCTTCTCAATCCACTGCACAAATCTCTTTTAGTATTTCAGTTGCATTTTTACCTTTCCTGAAATAATAAAGCATAATATACTGAAAACGTTGCCTATTTTCTTCCATTTTCAATATTAAAATGGCTGCACAAAAATTCACCAATTTTGATTAATTTTTTAAATGCACACTAATATGACAGCTGTCACAATACAATCTAACAAAATTGTTTTAAACGAAGTTAAAGACAACTGAGCGCGATTAGAGCCATCATATGGAAAAAAACATAACAGACATTTTGGCCAACCCAGTATCAGACCTGTTCCTCTCAGTCACCCTCACCATCATCACAAAAGATATGTTCTTCCAAACAGGTCAAAAAGCATGAGAAAACTCTCATTGGAAACTTTGCCCCTAACTGACATGAGCCAAATGAAAACAAAACTTAAAATCTCCTCACCAGTTTTGAACGCTAAGTTCTGTGCATGGATTTGTGAGAACCTGCAGGCTCTGCTTATCAGCACTTTTCTCGCCCCCAGAGTGACATGGACAAATGACTGTCCAAACGGTAATCATCCTACCTCACCTGGGCTCTATATTAGTACCAACAGTTCACATACTAAGCCAAAATGACGAAGGTGGTCGTTGCATCTCCCCCAACCCAGCCAGCCTGCCCGAGGCCTCGTGTGACTGTGGAGTAGCGGAAGCCCTGCCCTCACCTGGACTCTTGCCCTCCATCCTTTTCTTCTGAACCTCGTGCCCCTCTGAAGTAATCTCACACAGTGGGGCCCTCCCTGCCCCTCCGGGCTCCCAGAATGGGGTCTGTGGGCCAGGGCCTCAGGATCTTGCAGAGCAGAGGCCTACTGGACAGGGGGCACCTCTGACTGCTCCACCTGGGACATGAAGGTATCACCCCCAACATGCAAAGGCAGAGCTGCACTTTCTACTTCGGCAAGATCTAAGGCTGGATGACCCCTGTCCACCCCACTCCCGCCTGGGAGCCCAGGCATCTGCTGCAGAGGCCCACTGGCACACAGCCCACGGCCATGTGGTCCTACTTCGCACCTCGGATCGGCCTTAAATCCACATTACTTTCCCCGCCGTGACTCTCAAGTTGGCAGAGATCAAAAATCTAGTAAAGCAAGATCACTGTTAATTTTGTAAGCACTGAGAGAGCTAAGGAAACGGAGCACCATCTTCTTCTTGGTCATCACAGTGGCCGATCTGAAATGTCAACGGTCACTAAATGAAGCAGTTAAGAGGGCAAGAAGGAGGGAGGAAAACACTGAAAGGCAGAGTGGCAGACCTGCGTCCGAGTCCCACTCCCGCCGGCTCCCCGAAGGCAGGGACTTGGGGCTGCTTCTGTCAGTGACGGAGCCCATGTCCCTGTAGCATGAGGCACGTCAGTTCTCAGTCTGCTTCTGTGCATCAGTGGGTGTGCGACCTCAGTGGAGCTATTTCTGAGGCTAAGTTTTCTCTTCTCTAAAATGAGATCAATACCATCTACTTTTCAATTATTGTGCAGAGTAGCTTAATAAATAGCAACTAGCCCATATCATGCCTACTATATGCTGGACACTGATAAAAACATGTTCTACCTATTAACTCATTTAATCTTTATTCTGTGGTGTAGATACTAGTATTTGTGTCTATTTTTCAAGGAGAAACTGAAGTACAGAAAGGTAAAGTGACTTGTCCAAGGTCACAAGTAAGTAGAGGAGCCAGGATTTGAACCCATGTTGACAGACTGACTGCAGAGTGCCTTAGACACTACAGGGCTCCTTCTCTGAATAAAAATATAAATGCAACTCAAATCATTCATGAAAGGTTTTCTTAGGCTCTGCCGAGGAATGCCAATCAGCCACAAAATTAGGCAGTATAGAGCTTTAATGGGGTTTGTGCGCCCGAGTGACGTTTTTTGGTCTGCACGGTGGGGCCGAGAAAAGCCGCAAGCAAACAGGAATATGGCGGGGTTTTATTTTGGTTGGCCCTCTTCATGGGGGCTGGGGATGGGTCCCCCTCCGAACAAAGCGGCAACATATCATTGGTGGTTCTCCCCACACCCTGGTTTGACATCAGCCGTCTCTTCTGGGTTGTAGCTCAGCTGTCATTCTGTCCTACCCCGCCCATCCTGACAATTCTTCCCTTTCATGACACACTCTTCTACCCACTCTTCTCTTCAGCTATGTTCTCACTAAAAAATGAAAATTCAAAACCCTAGTTCTATCTCTTATCTGAATGCCCTTGAGCAAGTCACTCAACTTTTCTGAGTTTCAGTGTATTCAGCTGTAAAATGGGCACGGCGAGGCATGCTATGGAAGGTGGCCGTGATAACTCAAGGAGGTGCCACATGGAAGCCCCTGGCCTGACCCACACTGGGGATCGGGAGGCAGAGGCAGCAGAGGGTAAAAAGGAGACTTTGGAGTCACAGACTCGTTCTAGATCGCAGCTGCCAGGCTGCCAATCACCTCTGTGCCCTTCGGCCAGGTGTCCTCGTTTGCAGTATGAGGACAATCATCTCTGCATCATCGGGCTAAGAGAAGATGAAATGAGCTTGTATACACAAAGGATACAGAATATAGCGCATGCTAAGTGTTCAGTAAATAAAAGTAAAAATTAGACGTTTACCACCAGCGTTATAAATGGGCCATAACAAAACCAGACACAGCCTCTACCCTGAACCTCCAGGATGCCAATGACTCCCAGGGACTCGCTCCCCTCGTCCTTCACATGGCACGATTTTAAGGGTCTGGAGCATCCCCCATCTGAATCACAAACTATGGTCAACTGTAAAGCAAAGGCAGGCCAGAGACTGGCCAGGCTGGTACACAGAGAGAGGGTTCCCTCCCTAACGAGGAACGGGTACACTGACAATGCTATGTCAATACCTGGGGGCCAGTGGACTCCAAATCTGGAAAGACTGGTGAACTCTCCCACCAGCTATGTCCGAGGGACCACGAAAGCATGCCGACGCTTAACACCAGCAGCCTCAAGACCATCAGGTGAGGTGAGAAGGGGCCATGGACAAGGATGCTGCTGAGTGGGACATGATGCTGGTGCCTCCACTCACTCCCTTCCTAGGTGATGAAGGGCACTTTGAAACAGATGTACCGTCTCCAGAACCAGCCCTCTATATGTCTGGGCAATCTAGCAGGAGCATGCTGTACTGAGCTATGGTGAGGCCGTGCAGGTACCTCGTATGCCGGGGAGAACTTTTAATGTTCCACAGTGGTCAGAAATGGCTCTGCCAAAGAAAAGAACCTCTCTGCCTCAAGCTGCTTAAAACAAGAGCTCTTCTTCTCTCAGCTTCAACCTGCCCACACACCCCTGCCAACTTAATCTCCCAGCGCACAACTGATCACCTGCTCAGAAGATCATCTGTCCTCCCCACCTCCCACTGAGTTCAAATTGTCAGAGGTCACACAGAGATTCAAGGCAGATTTATTGTCTTCCCCTCTTCCCCAGACCATTTCTGACCCCTTTGCAGAGGGGGCAGTACATGTGGAAGTCAAGAGCATAGGCTTTAGAATGGCCCGAGTCAAGCAGGCCCTTGGTTCTGGGCAAATGAATTTCTGTTAACCTTGATTACACCTCAGCTTTATCCTCCATAAACTGGAGATTATACCAAATGCAGCGGTACCTCAGTACTCATCCTTAATTCGTTCCAGAACTTGTGACAAGTCCCAAAACCAACGAGTACCAAACAAGCACCGAGCAAGTGACGAGTCATGAAGCATTTTCTCTTGCAGGGCAGTGTTCATGACTCAAAGTTCTAGCAAGTGTGACAAGTCCCCAGTGAGCACCGAGTGCTGAAACATTCTTTTTCCTGTCAAAATGCAATGAGTACAGGGTTTGATGAGCTCTGAAGCCAATGAGTACCAAGGTATGGCAGTGTATCAGAAGACAGGGGCTGGCAAATGGGGGCCTGGGCCAAACCCGTAAGACACCTGTTTTATAAGCCAAGTTCTATTGGGACAGTCACACCCATTTGTGGTCATGCTACAATGGCAG